TATTTTACAGTAGGAAAGCCCTTCCTGGTTTAGTGTTACCTGCTGACAGCCTCTCTCTACCCCCCGCCCCAGCATAGGGTTAGCTACCTAAGAAAGAGTCTGTGAGGGATGGCATAGCACATAGGAGCAGGATGAGCAGGGCTCACATCCCTCAGAAGGAAGTATAATGGGCCTTCCTACTTCTCCCAGGGGATCTGATTCCTCCTGGGAGCCTGTGGAGGACACTCAGGCCAAGATCCTTACTGAGTGCCAGCACAATCCACCCCAGCTCCTGCCCCTGTCCCTCCCAGAAGAGGGATATGCAGAGGTCCACAGAGGTCTTCACCTCAAGGTACACAGGCTGCCAGCGCCGACTTTCACAACTGCAGTGTGGTTTAAGATGTTTACATTAGCAAATAAACACTTTTAACACACCCCAAAACATAACTGCGCCACTCCGGGTGATGGCAGTGTTATGGCTGAGGAGGCCCTTCAGCCATGGTGTGCTCCGCAGCGAGGTCCAGAGCAGCGCCAGGCTGGAGCCGGATGCTAGTAGCAGCTGCTTTCTAGGGTTTTCATGCCCACGTTGCAGACCAGTGTGCCCTGATGCCCCTGGGGCTGTGGGGTCAGGCAGACCCCCTCCGTGGAACCCCGAGTAAGTCATTGTTGGAAGAGCCCTTCTCTGGTCAGAGTCATGGCATGGCCTGCTGTCTCTCCTTGCGGAGCTGTGGTTCCTGCCCTGCCTTCCTCCAGTGAGACTGTGGTGTGGTGTGGGAGTGAAATACACCCTTTCTCCCTGAGTTGCATGGTGTTTATCAAGACAATAGAAACCCTAACCTAAACACACGTGGATGGTGTGTGCATGTGTGTGTTCGTGCACGTATAGGAGAGACAAGTCACATCAGTCCTTGCCTCATCTGAGCACATGGTCTCTTGTTTGACATTCTGTACAGCAGGCTAGCTGGCCTGTGCATTCCTGGAGATGCTGGTCTCTGCTTCCCATCTCTCTGTACGGCACTGGGGTCGCAGACACATGCTACTGTGCTCAGCTTTACGTGGGTTCTAGAGACTTGAACTCAGGTCTTCATGCTGGCTGACAAGTGCTTTTTACCTATTGAACCATCATTTCCTCAGCTATTTTTTGGTTTGATTCCCTGAAGACCAACGGGCGCCCATTGTGAAGCATCCATCCAAAGTTTCTTTCTCATTTCTGGGTGTCATAAAAAACCTTTGCCTCGTGGTGGTGGCATACACCTTTAATCCCAGCTCTCAAGAAGGCAGAAGTAGTCAGATCTCTGAGTTCGAGGCCAGCCTGGTCTACAGATCAAGTCCAGGACAACCAAGGGTACACAGAGAAACCCTGTCTCGAAGAAAACAAACTAAAAGCAAATGAGAGAGATCTGTGCCTCCTCTGGCTGCAAGCAGAGCCTTATGTCTGCTGAGGCCTCATGCTGAGACCAGAGTTCAGGGACTCGCAGCCCTTCAGGCAGTTTTGTGCCCAATGGCTGCACCATCCACTGTGGGTTAGGCCCTGCCACATCAGCCATTAATTAAGAAAATGGCCCACAGGCTTGCCTCCCATTGGAGAGATTTTCTCAATTGAGGTTCCCTCTTTCAAGGTCACTCTAACTCAGGTCAGGGTGACAAAAACAACAAAAACCAAAACAAACAAAAACACCCTACCTAGCCAGCATAGACATTTGCTCTGTTTGTTTGTTTTCAAGACAGGGTTTTTCTGTGTAGCCTTGGCTGTCCTGGACTTGCTTTGTAGACCAGGCTGGCCTTGAACTCACAGAGATCCACCTGCCTCTGCTTCCCTGAGTGCTGGGATTACAGGCATGCGGCACCACTCCCAGCTTCTTAGCATAGACATTTTTAAAGCTTTATAGTAAGCTTCTCTCTTTAAAAAAAAAAAATTATTTTTATTTTATGTACATTGGTGTTTTAACTGCATGTATGTCTGTGTGAGAGTGTCAGATCCCCTGAAACAGGGGTTACAGACAGTTGTGAGCTGTCATGTGGGTGCTGGGGATTGAACCAGGGTCCTCCAGGAAGAACAGTCAGTGCTCTTAACCACTAAGCCATCTCTCCAACCCAGTAAACTTCTCTTTAGAAAAAAGAACGGAAGCTTGCCATGGTCAACTATGCCATAACACCAGCACTTGGGAGGCTACAGCAGGAGGACTGCTGTGAGTTCAAGGCTAGTCAGGGCTTCAGAGTGAAACTTGGTAACTCTCCTATACCAGCACAGAGCAGTAACATTTGAACACACTCTGCCAACTTGCCATATTCTTTATTCATGCAGAAGATGACTGGCAGCCTCTTCAGACTGGTGCTGTCCCAGCTACCATGTGAACCCTACCAGTGGGCCTGGCCAGGCTGTCCCAGGGAAGAACCCCTTCATGGGCCCTAGCAGTTGAGTCTGGAAAATCCCAGTGGGTTTCATAGAAAGCCCTTTGGATGGCTTGTAGGTGCTTTTCCAAGGACCAGGCAGGGCCAGCAGCAGCAGTCTGAGTGGTCAGCCTTTTTGAAGTAAAGAGCTGCCTGAAGAATGAGCAGTCTAACCATGATGAGCTCTACCTGCCCATCTGCAGAGGGTGCCGCTGCCCAGGGAGGCTGAGCAGGAGATTCCAGAGCTCACCTTCCTTCCTTTTGCTCTCATACTGCCTGCTAGGGGGCCCCTCCTCAGTGTGCCCTTCCGCCACGCTAGCTGCCCAGCCTTTCCTATATACGGTCTCTCCAGCTTGGCAGCTCCTTGGCTGTGTGATCTCAGGCAAACTTCTGCTTCTCCAAGCTGTTTCCCTTCATACCTCACTGGTCGGAGTATCAGCTCTGGGTCCACTCGCCGGCACATGTGGCTATGTAAGTGTGCTTGCTAAATGAGCCGGGATGAGTAGCTGAATCATGCTGCAACTTGGATGGCCCTGCCTCCCCAACTCAGCCTTTGGATCCAAAAGACCAAGGGACCAAGAGTCAAGGGACTCTTACATACAGGCAGCAAAGCTACCTACTCCAGGAGCTCAGGCACCTGTCTGGGGCCAGGGGAACAGTGCCCTCTGGGACAGGTTGGCAAGTTCTTCTGCTCTGAGGCAGAAGCGTCTGTAGAAATGGAGGGACGGTATGGGGGACACTGCCACCCTTGTGGCACCTTCTGTGTTGCTTTCTACATCCTTGACAGCCAGCACTGCTATGAGAGTTTACCTTGGCCAGACCCCCTGCCTACTGCTGGCAAGCTGTTCCTTCTCAGCTCTTGCAAGGGCTGAGGTATCCTTGCGTAACCCATTCCAGGAACTGTGGAAAGCTGAAGGCATATCTCTCTAGGGTACCAGTCTTGGGACCTACTGTGTTGACATCAGGCCACCTTTCTGTAGGATTTTCTTTTTTTTTTTTTTTTTTTTTTGGCCAGGAGTTACTGGGAAAGAGGCCTGGGCCTAAGAGGCTTCTCAGGATGTTGCTTGGGTGGGTTCCCTCCCTAGTTTACACCCTCGGTCTCCCCAGGGACACACGAGGGACAGGGAGGATCTGGTACTCTCTGATCTCTGTTATCATGCCTAGGTGACCTGGGTTGCTCGGGGAGGGCTGTTCTAAGTGACAGCCAGCTGCTCCCTTGCCCAAGAGTGTTGTTGGCACCTGGCCTAAAGTTCAGTGTGGACAGTAGGGCAGCACAGGGAGACCTCTCCTGCCAGGTCCCTGAGAGCCCCTGCCCTCACAAGCTCAGCGACAACAGCACAGGCTACAGACAACTGGGCCCGTGGTGCACGCTGCAAAGGTCAGGACTGGCTGGACACACCAAGGACATGGAAGAGGGTGAAGGAAGGGGCTGCCCAACCATTGCTGTCTCCTGTTCACATTCAGTTTGCCTGTTGGCTTTGAAGCCTTCAGAAAGGAAGAAACTTGATGCCTAATCCATTGTACAAGAATTAGGGAATCAGTCCTCAGAGAGAGCCGCTCAGCAGAGGGGGACCCCATGTTGGGAGGTACGCCTGAGTGCCTGTGGGAGTCTATGCCTCTGTTGTCATGGCAGCTGTAGTTGGGAAATGTCATCTGTGGGCATCGTGGGACAGCAGAACCCCTCAGCTGAGTATCTCCCCTTCTCCACACAGATCTGGGACATGAGTGACGAGGAGACCGTCTGAGGCAACCACAGCTCAGGAGTGCTCGGCCCTCAGCGCAGGACTGTGCTCTAGGACTGGTGATCTGGGCCCTGCCACCTCCCTGGTCCTGATCCCCACACCTCCAGGGACAAAGGTGTATCTATCCTCTGCCACCCAGTTCCGCCCTTTCCTGTGCCATCTCACCAGCTCTGAACTCAATAATAACTTTAGCATTGCCACTGATCTGGGGCTCAGGTCCTTCCATGTGCATTGATTTTCTCCCCCCTTGTCAGAAGACCCCCCCAGGATCTTTTTCACCATGGTCCCCAGGAGTGGCAATGAATATCTGATCCAACACAGATCAAGCAAGGCTGTGCTAGGAGTCCAAGGGAGAGCACCAGTGCTCGCCCCAACAGCACTGAGCTTGCAGCCTCAAGGGTTCAAGTGGATACCAAGCTGGCCCACCCTCAGCCGTGAGCATGCTGCCATGCCACCCTACTCAGAGGATGGAAAGCTCCTACCGCAGCCCTGTGCTGGGCGAGCAGGACAGAGCTCTGCCTGACGGGTGCTTCACTGGGGTTGCTCCTGGGGCCAGGCTCATTTTCTTCTTCATTCTGGGGGGCCCTTGGCAACTGTGCTCACCTGCCCTAAGCAGATGTGCTATTCCTAGCAGCTCTCCTCCCACGCTTATGCACGCATCTTCACCTTTGGTCTCAGGTCCAGAGCAGAAGGCCATGCGTGGCTGACCAGCAGAGTTCCAGACTTGAGAGGACCTTGGCCTAAGGCAGCCCTACCCATCTGCACAAGGCTTCCCAGGAGCAGCCAGGCCTGCCTGGGCACAGGGCCCCACATGCCACCCTAGGATTCAAGAGCCACACACAGCCTTGGTTTAAGAGCACTTTATTATTGTTCTTAAGGCTACTTTTTTAAGTACAAAAAAAAAAAAAAAAAAAAAAAAGATGGCCTGCCAAACCTTTTTTTTTTTTCTTCTTCCAGGAAAAAAACAGGCCACAGAGAATGGTATATTACAGATTTACAAACACAGAGAGGGGTCAGCACGCACATGGATGGCTTGGTTCTGGGGAGGTCACAAGTCCTGCCCAGGCAGGATGGCGCACTCCTTGGCTGCCATGTGTGGCTCCCCCTCCAGGGCACGGCCTATTCCAGATAGGTCAGCCCACCAGGGACCCGGCCACCGCACTGCCATCTCCCCGCCCCCAACAGCGACGACCTGCTCACTGACGGGTGTCTGAGACCCGTTGCCCACAGAGCCAGTCCGCGGTGCGGTTGTTTTTCTGTGACAACCTCAGTAGCCTGCAGAATAACAAACTAGTGGCTAGTAATGCGGACGCAGTGTTGCCATGGAGTAACTGTGTACCTGCACGATTACAGACACACCTACAACAAAAAAGATCAACTTTTTTCCCCCAAACAACAACAAAAAATGAATGATTACGATAGGAAAGGGAAAATTAAATAGCTACATATCATTAACAAATTAATTGTTCTTCAAAAAATACCTACAAATTTCTCTGTACATTCTTTACGCACAGCGTAATGATGGTCTTTAAAATTACCTATATAAAAAAAGTGTTCTCAACAATTCTTTTTTTCCTACAGAAAATATAGGGGCCCGAATGCCAAGCTTGGAAGCCCAGAGCGGAGTGAACCGTGTGCGGGGCAGGAGGAGGGCCGTCTAATTTTGTGAAGGCGGGTAGCCACCCTGTGACTATGGGAATCAGTCCCTGCCTTTCCACTGTGCCCGTTTCCCGAGTTCAACAGCTAACCTGTCTCCTCCTACTGAAAGTCAGCCCCATGGGCTCCCATGTTGCAAGAGTCCATAATGCTGTGTGAGGGAGGTGGTCCTAGCCAGGTGGTGGCCCAACCCCCTGGAGGGCTAGGCCGGGGGACAGGAATCTCAAGGCCGGGAGGAGCAGCAGCTGTCGGGTGGCCCCGGCCGTGTCTGTCCTGCTGGCTTCTAATGTCTAGTTAGTAGCTATTAATAGAGCGGGAATAGTGACGCAGGAATAACTGTAGAGTCAGAGGAATGTGTACAGCCTTGGCCCGCAGGAGGGGGCGTGCGTGCAGCCCCATGCTGCAGGCACCTGATGAAGCCAGGAGTTGGAAAGGAGCAGTCTGTGCAGCAAGGAGCCTAAAGACATGAACTCCAAGTCCCCAGCCCAGGATGCAGGAAATGAGCAGCAGCGGGCTTCCCTGGCCTACCACACCCACCGGCTGTGCGCTCCTCTTCGGAGTAAAGTGAGCGTTGACTATACATCTCAGAAGCACAGCTGTACCAGCAGTGAGTGTACCTAGGGCTGTAACTGACAAACAGGCTAATGCCGACAGGAAGCCAGTCAGTGCTACAGTTTGAGCTTACGGTCAATAGAAACCAGCTATTTTTCTTAAGACATACATGTGTCAGAAGCACTATGGAGTCCTCCAGCCTTAGCACTAGCCTCACAAACTGCAGTGTTCACAGAAGGTAAATGCCCATGGTCAGGGGGAGTCAGCAGTGCAGCTGTGAGCACCTCAAGCCTAGAGAAAGACCTAGAACCTGCTAGAGACCTTCTAGGTTCAGCAACAATGCAAGCACACATGGTCAGAAGTGTTCCCTAGCAGTTTGCCCTCAGTACTGGCACCTCAGACAGCTGCCCCAAGGGCAGCCCTGCCCTCCACAGTGCAAATCAGGACAGTTCTCTTCAGGCAGACACATGCACACACAGACTGAGCCAGACCCCAGGTGGAGGCCAAGCCCTGCAGACCCGGCCTCCAAAGCTAAGGGCACAGAGCGTCCGGATCCCCGTGTCATCATGGCTTGTGACTGAGAAGGGCCGCAGGGTCCCGGCTGCCAGGTGGCACACCTGCAGAGGTTTCTTTGGTAACCAGGGCAGGAAGCAAAGATGCTCCGCTGGACTGAATGCTCCGTGCCGTTCCTGATGCCACATTGAGGCCCCTTGTATGAACACCAAGCAAGTATAAAAACAGAGCAGAACAAAAAGTCCAGACAAACATGGTTTTGCGAATAAACCACCCTCCCCCCTCCCCTCCTGGATTTTTTTTTCTTTCTGCTTTTTTTTTTTTGTGTTTTTTTTTTTGTTTGTTTTTAAGCACTGACTGTTCAAAGCTCAGGCAAACCATGCAGATCCCTGTGTGGTCGGAGGGTGGTGCCCCCCTTCAGGAGACCACAGAGGGGGAGTGACTGTGGCTGACCATGTGGGCAGTGGGGCTGGCTGGCTGGCCCCGGCGCGAGGCCGACTCTGGGCTGCTGGACGCGCTGTCCTTGGCCGCTTTAATCTGAAGCCATGTATCACCCAGTGCTTTGGCAAAGTGGTCGTCCACAGAGCCAGTGATGGACACCGAGTTGGGTGCAGGCTCTGGTTCCTTGTAGTTCTTGCCCAGGCTCCGGCGGAAGTGTTCTTCTACCACAGGGTCACACGTGGCAGTCGCTGCAGAGGAGGAATCAGAGGACAGGCAGCCACGTCAGTGGGCCGATACCCTAGACAGGGGTTCTGACCCACACTGGGCTGAATCCAGAGAGTCTGTGGCACTGAATAACAATGGTGGCTCCTGTCTTCCCGTCACCCGGAGCCCAAAGGGGCCAGGGACAGAACGTTCTTTTCCCCATCCCACCTGGGCCATGCCAACTCAACACTTACGTGACTTTAGGGAGAGAGTGAATTTACAGCCCACAGCTTAATCCAGGGCTCCTACAGGCTCTGATAGAAAACTCACCACTGGGTGGTCTCCGGTAGCTGGCCGAGCCAGGTGCAGAACAGCCACTGTGCGCAATGGGGCAGTGAGAGAGGTTGCAGTTGCGGGCGCCTGCAGATGCGCAGGTGATCACGGAGGGCCGGTTCTGTAGGAGAGAGAACAAGTCAGCTCCTCCTCAGCCCCTGGGCAGGTGCGCCAAAAGGCTCAGCTCCTCCTGGCAGGGACCCCCCTGCACTTAGCTGCGAGCCCACTGTGCTACAAAACAGCAGGGCCAGAGGGGAGACTAGAATGCAGTGGGGTCCCTGGTCCTGGCACCTGCAGGTGAACCATACAGCATCTCCTAAGGGCCAGGCCCCTTCCTCCCTGTTAGTGTGTCCAAACACTGACAGGAAACCTGGGAATAATAGGCCCGGAGGCTGAGAGACTACCATGGGTCAGCCACAAAGAACCACCCCCACGCCACCTCTGAGCTCTTACTCTATAGTTTTTGTCAGAAAACAAACCCTTTTGCTGTGTGTCGGGCTAAGGCCTTGCACATACCAGACAAGCGCTGCCTTCTACCTCTCTTGTTCTTTGTGAAACACGGCCTTATGAAGTTGCCTTAAATTGTAATCCTCCTGCCTCAGCCTTCCAAGTAGCTGATATTATAAGCCTGAACTACCAGGCCTGCCCTTGTTTTCTAAAAAGTAATAAATAATAATCACAATAATAATAATGCCTGTGTCCTAGTCACAGGTTTGTGACCACTGACTTTCTAGGACTCAAGCCCCCAAACAAACCACTTAACTTTGGCCTTGTGAAATCATACTGCGTAAGCACAGGCCTCTCAGGATTACTACACTGAGGAACAGATTGCCAGGGAAGATGGGTGTGCAAGGCAGGGGTTGGGGTAGAGGTGGAGGACTTTCACCTAAAACAACCCTGCACTGTGCAAAGAAATGAAGCCTGGGGAAGGGGAAGCCCCTCACTTCCGGACTTCTGCTCAGGGCCCTCCATGCAGCTCCTGCCTGACACCCTGCCTGACCTAGCACACACCTGCTGCCGCTCCACAGCCGACCTGCCCGTGTCACTGCTGTTCTTAGTCAATGCAAGAGGTTGCTCCATGAGGCTGGGGAGGGATGCATACAGGTGGCCACCGTGCAAGCTTACAGCAGGGGCTGCAGCCCGCTCAATGGGACTGCGGCTCCGTTCCCGGGGATCTCTGCGGCAGTCTCCATTGACAGTCTTATTCCTGAAAGATAGGGGCAAAGAGGGTCGTGGTGAGGAGCCATGTACTTTCCCCCAGATGCTTCCATGACGTTCCTACCCTAGTGCTAAGGGCAGTCCCGAGTTGAGGAGCAAGGCTCTAAATACAGCCAAAGTTGGCTTTGTGGCCTCCGTCCTTCCCTGCTGGCAGACATGTCACTTAGTAGTGCACGAGATCAACCCCATGGACAGTGTGACCACAGCTGGTCACTGAGGGAGGATGGGAATGCTGATAACCCAAAGAAACTCTGCATCCTATGAGCCAGTTCTGGAGTGAAACCACCCTGGTATCTGCTCCTAAGCAGCACAGGCTGTTTGCAGCTGTCGAGGTGACAGGACCCCGAGGCAGTGGGGCAGCCGAGTGACCGGCTCATCTACTGGTGACCAGTGGCCCCTTTTCCTGTGTGGGTCTGCTTTTCGTTCGTGTGTGAGATGGCAGTGGGCAGCACATGCACCCAGAAACCGAAGGCAGCAGCTCCCCTGAGCTATAGGTGCCTGCACATCAATGCCACCTCCTCTACAAGGACCTTTGGACAGTGTCCACACAAGTGTGGCATGAGAACCCGCAAGGCCCAGCTCACATAGGGTGTTCCAGGCTCGGCTCTGTCCTCCCTCCAGCCCACTGATTCTAGAACCATCACCACCCGCTTTCCCTTCAGGGTCTGTCCCTTTTTAACCAACTGCCAGAGCAAACCTGTTACAGTTTAACATTTAAAGGAAAACGGGAGATGAATCCTCAGGCTTTTGGGAATTTTCGATGATTCCCTAAGCCCCTTTCTTGGCCTGCTCTTTACCATCAAGGAAGCAAGTCACGTGCACTCAGGCTGCCGGCTGGGCCAGCTGAATGCAGCCCTGTAACCCACTCTCCACACATGTGACAGCCATATCTTTTTTTAGTGGCCAATTAACTTTCAATTGTAAGAAGTGACACAGCACATCCGGGTACCCAGCATCCCTTTCTTCCACTGGTGGCCTCTTGTAAAACTGCCCTGCAGGACACTGACACGCCCACTCGGTAGTTACATCACACCCTGGCTTTCCTACGTTCATCTCAGAGCCATCCGCTTATTAAGCAAATCTGACCTCACAGAGCTCTCTTCACCTATCAGCAGCCGGCACCTTTTCCGTTGACTGTTCTCGACGGCCTTTCCACCCTCACCTCTGGCTCTTGCCACAGACTTCTCACGCTGTAGTAACAACTGTCTGCTTGCCATGCCTCAGGGAGGGCACAGCCGTATTGTGCTTCTCCGAATGTGCACTGAGGGCAGAAGCTACCACACCTCTGCTGCTCACCTCTGCCTGTTGTGTGCTAGCACTGAACGCTTTGGGGAGACAAAGTCCTGCCTGTCCTGAGCTGCAGACCAGCTGCACAGGTAAAGAAGACATTAGAGTGCAGAACTGGAGAGGGCCAGACTCGTGAGGAACCAGAGAACAGACTAGTGGGCCACAGGGCGTCCGCAGCCCTCAGACAGATTCTACACTCGCAGGGATTCAAGCAGCAGACACTAGCGAGGACAGGAAACCCTAGAGAGCACCATGGTTCCCAAAGGACCCTGTAGCAGGCAATGGGTACAGAATAAGCCAGCATAACGAGGGATGAAGGGCCTGAGGAGGACAGCCTACAGATGGCACAAAGATTCAGGCAGGCTACCATCACTTGTCCCCTTGACCGCAATGTCACGAGTTCTCATCACCTCCAACTTTTGACCCCCACAGCACTTTCACACGGTCAAGCACCAGCCTCAAAAATGACATACACAAAGTAGAACGGGGTGGTACCAACAGGGGCCTCCAGGACTCCACACCTAGGAGACCAGTCAACAGGCACTGGGCATGGTACATCACGAAATACCACGAAACACAGAGAAAGCATGGGAACTTGCTATTTAATTTTAGCAAAATTACACGTCACTCATATTTCCAGCTCATTTTCCTGGTTCCTGGAGCTTAAAGACAGACATTGTTTTCCACATCCCTCCCGCTTTGAATGAATCACAGCCCAGCGCGTCCTGTGCTGTCAGGACGCTGACCCAAACCACACACATCCTGCCGCTCCTTAAAGACCAAGTTGGTGGATGGAAAACCAACACAGGCCCTGCTAGGGCCTAGAGGACTCCCGGGGCTGCCTGGGAGTGGCAACCTTGCCCATGGGTCGGCACTTCCAGGCTATTTTAGGAGAGGAACAGAAAAGATGGGTGGGCGAAAAAAGACCGCCATAGACACCCACCAGGGTTTTCTGGGGATAGTCACTGTGTGCGCCTGGTCACTCTTTAAGCTGCGGAGACAAGACGTCAACAGCATTTGGGGAAAGGAGACTAATCCCAAGAAGTACAACTCCAAAGAAAACACAGGGTGGCGAATCAAGTGTCTGGCCCTTAACCGGGCACAGATCGGAGGGTAGCCCTGCAAAGCATCTTGCTCAGCCTCAGGAATCACGGTATGTTGGCAGAAGAGTAAGGAAGGACCCACCCAGGCTTAGGCTTCCCACAGGATATCCCAAAGGTGACAGAGTGAGCCTTCCTGATGTCGGTCTGTGCTGTCGTCAGTGTGCGCCGAGGCTGAGGCCCTCTTGCTCTCTCACTGTGCGCCCTGGGAATCTGGATAACAGTCATGAGTCTTCCACAGTCTAGCACTAATAGCTGTAGGGACAGAAGCTAAGCCTTCAGCCTCTCTGAAAACCCTGACCAATCTCAAGGCCTTCTGCTTTGGCCAGGCATTGCGTCATTAGTGGGAACATGATGGTACATACCACATCCTCTGTGTCTCCAACCATCGCTTCCCATCCCTTGACAATCAGGAAGAAAGCTACATCCCTACCTCCACCTCAAAGCCAAGAGAGTGTGACCCATCGAGGCTGGTTGACGTTTCTGTCCCCTGGCCACAATGGTGCTGTCTCACTTTCTGCTCAGTGAAATTTTAATACTCAGCTCCAAGGAGCTAACCAAACAATACATGCCTCATTCCCTGTTACAGGAAGCTGATGCCTGATTCTTAGCTGGGAAACCTCCAGCTGGAGCAGAGCACTGGAGGAGGATGGCCCTCAGGCTAATCGTGCTAGTGGTCTTTTCATCCCTTGCTGAGTGCTCAGACATTACTATGATGAACTCCAAAGTGGGAAACCGGGGCAGAGGGGCCCAGACAATACCCGAAGTTACCAAGCTGGTCCAGTCAAGTACTCCACTGCCTAGCTCACTGTCTCCAAAACCATCCCTTTCCCTGATGTGGTGGAGAGAGGTTTCTATTCATCTCTCAGCAAGGCATTTGACACTCTCCTATGAACTGCCTTTAATTTCTGACACAGACTGAATGGGGTCTCCTAAAAGATGTTATGTGTGACCAGAGCTAATAAGATGAGGTCACGAGGGCCACAACTCAATGCCATTGGAGGGCAGATAAGGTAACAGGCACTCAAAGAAAAGACGATGCTGAGACCAGGGGTTGTCAGTTAACAAAGCCTCCCCTAGAAGGGGGCAATATTTGATGTAGACCAGGTTAGCCTTGAACTCATAGAGATCAACTTGCCTCTGCCTTCCCGGCACTGGGATTACAAGCCTGCACGCCACCAAAGCCAGCTGAAGAAACCTATCTTGAATGGCCCTCATAATGTCACGGCATAAAGCACTCCTGGGCTTATGATCTGCCATACTCCTGGCCATTCTGGAGCATGCAATGTATATGCTGCAAAACAGCCTCAAGCTGCATCCTTCAGGGAAGATTCCAGACGCACTATCCCTTTAGGAGATAATAAGTAACAATAAAGGCATCACGGGCAGCCTGGAATAATGCTGTCTACAGAGAAGACAGCACCACACAACTGTTTTAGTCTAGTTTCGGCACATCAGATAAATAAGCCGGGAACCGGTGACGCCTGACCCTGGGCTGGCTAGCCTCTGCTAATATGTGTGTTTGTGCCTTAGTTTTTTGTTTTGTTTTGATTTTGTTTTTAAAAGTTCTAAAAGATTTTTTTAAAGCTTATAAAGGTATGAAGAAAACATTTTTTTGGTCCAGCTGTATAATAATTTTGTGCTAAGTGTTCTCATAAAGTCAAAAACTATTTTTAAAAATTGAAAATTAGGGGCCAGCAAGTTGACTCAGGGGGTAAGGGCTTGCCTGCCTTGCAAGCCCAATGACCTGAGTTGGCTCAGTGATGAAGTCACCTGAGGGCTCATTCCTCAGGGAGCACCTGCCATTAGGGGCACATGGCTGGCTTCTCCAGCTCACAGTCCTGTCTTTCCACTGCTTTGTCTCCATCCGTGGAACTCAATTGCTTTACAGATCTCTAGAAATTCTATTCTCCACAGTGATGCTTTCTACTGACTGACCTATAATTAATGCAAAACCATTTTAAAGCTTTCGAGAGGTGGTTCTCAACCTTCCTGATGCCGCAGCCCTTTAATAGCTCCTCATGTTGTGGTGACCCCTAGCCATAAGTTAGTTATTTTGTTGCTATTTCATAGCTGTAATTTTGCTGCTGTTATGAGTCGTAATGTAAATAACTGGTATGTGTCCCATAGGCTGAGAACTGCTCCTCTAGAGTCTTAAAGAAGCAAGGACCGGAAGCCTCACTGGCCCTCACCTAACACATGCTTTGCACTGAGCCATGGCTGTGTACTTGCTGAGCCAGCAGGCCAAGGCCAGTCAATGAGGATGAAGAGTCCATGGCCCTGGGCCTGGCCATTTCAGGAGTCAGAGGGATACCTGCATCAGAGGGAATGAATGCCTGCAGAGCTGACTCTCATCTGATGTCAGCTCAGGAGCTCTGGATGGTGCTGGAAGGAATGTTCCTGCCTGGTTTCTACTTCACTGCCGACTTGCTACCACCACAGCTGAGCACTGCGCCCCCATCCCCCAGTGCTCAACCAGCTATATGAGAGAAGGGAAAAGGAGGAGAGGAGGGACAGGTCTGCCCAAGTCCACAGCAGGCAGGTGACTACGCAGGGATCCAAGGCACACTGAGAGTCACACAACCACTCCTGTCACAGGAGG